GAAAATTCGGCCAAGTCTCGACAGTAAAAAACGTTCCTCCCACACCTCTGGGAACCCTGAAAATTCAGCTAAGTCCCTCGCGGCCATAAAATTTCCTCCCGCAAACGCCCCCATCCCGCAACCCTGCTTATACCCTACTTTTGCCGGACAGCCTACCAGTCCGGTCACTTGCCAAACTCTTTCGTTGTCTGGGCAGCCCCCCCTCCCACCCGTCTCCCCCATATGTCTTGTTCACACATTGTACAGTCAACGTGAGGATTCTTTGGTTTCTAAACTTTCAATTGTTGGCCGAGGTGGTTGGTCAGCTGCCAAGGGTGTAGTTGGTGGTGACAATAATGGAGCTTGGGCGAGTGTGCTGGCTGGTCACGTTGCAAAGGGCGGACCAGGGGGGAGTGAAATAGGGGCATCAAGCAGAAGGGACAAAATAGGAGGGAATGAGAGGAGCTCAAGCAAGCAGAGGAAAATTGTGAGCAAGGTCATCTCTAGCTTTTGAATGTGTCTGTTTTTTTAGACAACTGATTGAATTTCCTTATGTCTGACCAATCATGGATCCTGTGCACGGCTCTCCACCCCTGCCTTGTCAAGGTAGTGGAAGAGCACCAATACCCGCCTGTACCATGGTGGCCCGACCCCATCCGCGGGCTTGATGGAGACATCGGAGGAGAGCCACTCGTGCGGAAATACCGTTATGAATTGCCCCTTGGCAATCCACTCCATGCGGTCATGGGGAGGGATGGCCATGGCCGTGTGGACCTGCACACAAAACGGGGGGGGAGGAAAGGGGCGGGTTGGGCAGGGGAGTGTTCCAGGGTTTAGCGGCATGGGTAGGAATGGTGTTGGAGGGGGAGGGGGTGGGGCAGGGTGGGGGGCAGGGGATGATTGTGTTAAGGGATTAAGAGCGGGTGGGGGTAGAGGGCCTTGCGGGAGTGAGGGGTGGTGGTGTGAGGATGCTCAAAAGTGGTGTGTATGAGGGAAGGAACTGATACCGGTAGGGGGGCTTTTGGAGGGGGGGGGGGAGGGAGGGGGGGGGGATGGGGTGGGCTGGGGGGCGTGATGATAAGCAGGGTTTAGGGAAGGAAATTTAGGCGAGCGTGCCAGACAAGGAGGTGGTGGCAACGTGGCAAGGTGATAATGGGGATTAGCGTTTCACACGATGATCAATGCAGAAGGGTGCTCACATATGCATGTTCAAGGATGGCTAAGGATTTGGGGAATCCTGCTACTCCCATAGATGGTGCGCGTCGTGGTCTCGGCCAAATCGAGGCGAGACACCATCTCCAGCATGCCCCCCCCCTACCCCGCCCATCTCTTGGAGAGAGGGGGTGGTGGGGGAACATAGGCACGAGTGGATTGGTGGTAGCACCCTCGAACGGGTGGCCCAGTGGGTTGGCGAGACATGGGACAAGGGCATTATGGACAGAGAGGCCGAACACACCGACAACACATATTCAAAACACATCGATAAGCTTCAGCCATACGTGTCATCAAAAGGCCATACTTGCTTTATCGCGGTCTCATAGGTGGCACCGCCACCAACCTTACGGGTGAGGGGCTCCCAGCCCCACAATGTGCACTGTGGATGGCAAAGAACAGACCTGGGGTCCACAAGGAGACGCATAAAAGGGGGGATGGAGAGAGGGTGAGACTTGGAGGAGGCAGGGGGGAGGGGGGGAGGGTGGGTGTGGGGGGGGAAGAGGCATAGTGCATGTGTGGCTGCCACGGTGGAGGGATGTAATGCTGGGTGGGACTACCGGTGGTTAGGTTGGTGGTTATGGGTCGAACGACAGGGCATCGGTAGAGCACACTGCCCGTGATCAGATGCAAGAGGTAGCTCAGTCCGCGAGCTCCGATAAGGCCAACTGTGAGAGTACGATCCCGTTCCAATTCTTCTCCTTTCCATCTGTCTCCTCTATCTCATTCTTCTTTTTATCCATATTCATCTGTTCTTTATCTCATCTCATTTGGGTTCCTATTCCTCATTTTCCATTATTCTTTGGTTTATCCCATTACTATAATTATATCACCGACCAGGCTCGTGATGTACTCGCACGCTAGATCTAGCGTAATCCTGCCGTAATCCCTTAAAGCCAATAGCCTCATGTGGCTATACGCAGGGTGATTCTATCTCTAGAAGGGTCGATTCCCTGTGGATAGGATAAACCTGGTTACGTGATGTACCTCGGAAGTATGAAAGCGCCTTGTATCGATCCATAGTGCAACCTTTCCTCGACACATTCGATCCTCTGACACTTGGTTATTAGAGTTTTTCTCACTCGATCGCACTCAGCTAAGCAGCAACAGCGAGAAAACCTGCCTCGAAAAACCGCCAGGGGCGACTAATCCGGCAACGATTCTGGTAAGCACTAGCTCCGCGTTTTTATAATTAACTTCTCCGCACGTGTTTTGAAAGGCGAACTTCAACAACAACACCGAGGTTACCCAACAGCTCTTTGCGAGCATCGCCACCCTACAAGAGGAGATGCAAGCTGACCGCAAAGCTTGGCGAAATGAGTTCGAGCGAGTAAACCGACTCGCCTGCGCGCAGCACGAAACGACAACGGCAACGACACAGCAGTCGCAGCAGTTTCTCGAGGCTCCCAAGCCACGCCCACCTGAGCCGTTCGATCCGAGCGATCGAAATTCCGACGTCCGCATGGATCGCCGTCATGAAAACCTACTTCGCAGCCGTCGGATGGAGCTCGCCAGTCTGGGACGGTCAACGCGTGCAACTGGCGGCGACACTGTTGCGAGGGCCGACACTCGAGTGGATCAGCAGCAGCAATACCTTCATCCACGCCAAAGCCACGTGGGAGCAATTCCGCACCAACCTGCTGAAACATTTCGAGCCGATAACTTCGGGTTTCATAGCCCGGAAAAAAAAAAAAAATATATATATATATATATATATATATATATATATATATATGTAATCATTGCCATCAACAATCCGGAGTAAAGCGCAGTACACGCAGCAGATGGAAGAATTTTAGAACCGCATTCCCGACCTAACCGAAGGGGAAAAAGCACAGTCGTATCTTGCTGGGCTGAAGACCGAAGTCAAACGACAAGTATCAGCGACAAATTACGCGAACTACAGTAACGTCGTTTCGGCAGCGGAGCGGTTTGACATGGTCATTGCCGTAACACGACAGGCGCATGTCGACAGTATGCGACAGGGCAACTGCTCGGCTCACCCCACGTTCGCCGCCCCGATGGAAATCAACAAATTCGTCGGGCGGTCACGTCAGAAAAACACCAACTTCACGTGTGATTTTTGCGGCGTGCCATGCCATAGAATCTTCGACTGCAACAAAATGAAAGCCGCATGTGCAGAGTATCGTGCGCGCAACAGTGGCGGGAATTCTTCGGCCAATCAAAAGTAAATAAACAAGAATCGCCAGTGATTGTGGATCTGGCTAGCGAAAAAGAAAAGATCCGAAAGCGGCCACGGGATTCCAGAAAAATCAAATTCGACGAAGCTGATTCAACGCGAGTAGGAGGAAATGATATGGGAAAATCTCCACCCGACGACCAGTTTTTGCCAGGGAAAATCGCCAAGAAAACATCTGACTCTGCGACAAAAAACTCTGTCTAGATAGGGAAACTCCTAGAAGGCCCAAGAAAATATAAGGATTCGTTACAGTTATCTTATAAAGATGCTTTAATGAAAAATTATGATTCTCGAGGGGCTAGAGCCTTGGAGAAATTCCGGGAGGGATTCTAGAAGAAGCATAAAATTGTGGAGATTGTACCGGTACCTGAGAACTTGGGGAAAAAATTAAAGAGTGTGGAATGAAGCTGACTTTTCCACGGAGTCAACGTCCTCTCCTGACACCAGCCCACAACGAATACCCGTTCCCAAGGCAAGACATCGGTGGAGCTGAAGCAACTCAAGAGGAAGCTGGGGGTCTAGAAGAAGCTGCAAAATCCCCGAAATCCTCCTCCGGATGCATCCAGATCAGCAACTACGACATCAACGACGCGCATAGTCGTCAAGGAAACTACGGGCCTTGGAGAAGAGCCTTTCTCCAAGCAGCCTCGGCCAGCTACCGGCTCAGGAGAAGATAGCAATGAAACGGTGTGTACGGAATATTGGAATGTACCCTAAGATCTTATTAACGAAACTATCTTTGGGTACTCTGAGCAACATCTGCCCCTCCTGCTCGAGGTCATCTGCAAAGGACGACGCCTCCAAGCACTCATGGACAGCGGAGCGTCACACACCGTATGCGACAAGGCAGTAATCGACCGACTTCGGGAAGAGTACAAGCCTTCAACATTCTTTGCAACGATGGTGGACGGCTGCACGTTACCAGTGTATGGCAAAGTAGTGTTATACCTACAAATCAGATCACTGCGCTGGAAACCTACACTCCCCATCACCAACATTAAAGGGCTTTACTTGATCTTCCGGCGAGACATTCTAAAAAAATTCAACTCCGAGATCAACTGGGTAAACCGTACCGCAAGCATCTATAACAAGAAAAGGAGAGTCCAGCTACCCAACTGGGACGACAGAGGAGATATCCCAGTGGAGGCACTCACTACGTTCGAGAAGGACGTAAAACAAATCGACATCGGGTTCCTGGCGATAGCAATAGATGCGGAAGATGACGGAGAGAAAGCCTCGGAACCTCCAGAAAAAATCAAGGCCTTAATGAAGGAGTTCCAAGACATTCTTCCAGGCGACCTTCCGAACAAGCTACCGCCATACCGAATGCACCAACACGAGATCGTGGAAGAACCAGGTTCGAAGCTGACCTCCCAGGCACCATATCGGCTCAGCTCTACTGAACAAGCCGACATGAAAAAACATATCAAGTACCTGGTTTACTCTTGGACGAATGCGTCGTGGTGTACCTGGACGACATTCTCATCTACTCGCGTGACATAAAGCACCAATACAAACACCTGCGATAGATCTTCGACATTCTTCGACGAAAACGATTCTACATCAAATTATCCAATAGTGAATTTGCCCTTGAGAAGGTCCAATTCCTATAACCCATGGTGAGCACTCAAGGAGTTCACGTCGACCCCAAGAAGATCGAAGCCGTACGCTCGTGGAAGACTCCCGAGAACGTAAAGGAGTTGCAGCAGTCCCTAGGCTTCGCTAATTATTACAACATGTTCGTGCCACAGTACGCGAAAATCGCCACGCAACTCACGAATCTACTGAAGAAGAACACGCCCTACAAGTGGGAATCAAAACATCAGGAAGCCGTGGAGCAGCTGAAACAAGCACTCACGTCCGCACCAGTACTCATCTTGCCAGACCCCGAACGCGACTACGCCATCGAAGCCGACACTAGCGACCAGGCAGTGGGAGCAGTCTTGATGCAAGTCCAGGGAAATGGACTGCAACCAATCGCCTACCTCAGCAAGAAACTACACGGGGCAGAACTAAACTATCCGATACAAGATAAGGAGGCCCTTGCTATTATTATCACCTTCAATACGTGGAGATGTTATCTCGAAGGATGAAAAACAACCATCTACACCGACCACGGCAGCCTGAAATTCTTGAAGACAACCAAACCTCTCCAGGCGGCAGGTCCCGTGGATTGACTTCCTCGAGACGCACTTCCACTACGACATCGTGTACAAGCCCGGCCACAAAATCAAAGCAGACGCTCTTAGCTGGCCTGCACACGTTTCCGCTATCCAGGTCGAAGGGATGAACCCACTATTCAAGGGAATCTTCACACACGGGTACACCATTGACCTCGAAATTCCATTGGCAGAAAAGCAACACCTGCTACAGTGGGACAGTGACATCGCATACCGGAAAGGATTATATAAAATCTGAGTACCCAATTACCCTCCTTTGCGCTGGTTACTGCTCGAAGAATACCACGATGTTTGATAGGTGGGACACTTCGGTAGCAACAAGATGCTCACCGGTATTGCAAAGCGCTACTACTGGCCCCACATGGTAGACAACGTACAAAAATTCGTCACCTCGTGCGTTACATATCAGCGGATGAAGAGCAGCAAGCAGAAAAAGGAAGGACTACTACAACCTCTTCTTGTCCCAGAACAGCCATGGCAATTGGTTAGCCTGGAGTTCATAACTGGGTTACCAATTGCCACAAGCGGTCATGACGCAATCCTTGTCGTCATCGACAAATTTTCCAAATAAGACACTACACCCCGACACGCACGACAGCACGTATTGAGGAGACAGCACAACTGTTCGTTCGCTACATCATCTCACAGAATGGTATTCCAACCACACTCATCTCCGACTGAGACCGTATGTTTACCTGCAAGTTTGCCTTGTATTAATCAATTGTGCAACGTTTTCTCGGCCCATTCGATCCTGTGACACCAACCCCTCGGCCCAATACGGACTACAGTGATGGACTTGGGGGGAGTGCCGAAAACGAGGGGACGTCGGTGTGTTAAGTCAAAGGGGGGCTCGCCTCACCTGACGTTGTTCCACCCATTAATAAATCAAGCACCATCTCAACGCTCCACGCTAAAGAGGCAGCACACATGAAACCACACAGTGAGAGGGTACTTTATATGACAGGTCCCAAAGAACATATGTACTAAACAAACCAAAAACTCAGAGAAGCATGCTTCTCAAGACTTTTTCAGGATAGGGCCAGCGGAGTCCAACTCTCACAGTGCCTATATTCCCTGAACATGTTAGGGCAGGTAAGGTCCAGGGCCAGATAAGGTGGAACAGGGTGGCACAACTGCAGAGCGCAACATGGCAGTACATGTTAAGGAAGGACATGTTTGGGCAGGGTTGCGCAAGAGAGAAAGAAACAGGGTAATAGATAACACGCCAGGACTTAGCGATGGACTGGATAGGACATGACCGGGCAAAACAGCCGGTGAAGAGCAGCATGCACACACGATACTCACTAGAACAGTGTGCGTGTAGTACTTGGCCTTGAGTGCAGCCAGCAACTTCGCCATCCTGGAGCACTCCGCACGCTTCATCAGCTTGTAAATGGCCTACTGCCCTGCCAGTATCCGATCCAGCATCTTGGACAGGACCTTGTGGAGGTTGTCCTACTCCACCAACCACCTCAAGCATGGCTTGAAAGACTTGCACTGCATGGTGCAAGTCACCTTGGAAGACTCTGGCTGCTCCATCACGTAGGCATACAATATCGGGTAGGCTGTTTCAAGCAAAGCCGCCCCTACGGACAACAAACACGATTCTCATTCATGTCAGCCATGGCTATGCCTGACGCAAAGACACTCAGACGCCCGAGGTGTAGAGAGAGGGGGGAGGGGGATGGGGCATGATAGAATGGTTGAAGAGTCGCTCACCCGTTCAGCTGTGACTTCTTGATGATAGGTTGCGCGACCACATCCATGGCCGAAGGGAATGCACGACACTTCTCTTTGGGGGACAGGACGCTCGGAATGTTATGGAAGTGTCCCAGCATCTCGGTCCCATCGCCGCCCCACCACACCCACAGCGGTATGTTGGAGAATGTCATCAGCGCGGGGTGCGATGTCTGCCGGCCACTGTTGCCGAGGTTCGTAGTGTTGTTGAAGAGGATGGTACCCAGTGGAAACCCACGATCACCAATGCTCTCTTATCAGAGGGTGGGGTCAGAGGGTCCACCCAATAAGGGAGCTGAACAAGTGCCATGGAAGGTACTGCATAAGGCATCAGCGATGGGGGAACACTAACACCGATTAAGGCGCACGGGTGATGTGCGGTTGGTCACCCTACGTATGCCTTAAGAATGAAATCCGTAATCATGGGGGTGCTATAACAGCGCTCCCCATTCCTGACCCACTCCTCCGCGCGGCGCTTGAACCCCACTACTGCTGACCGATGCTTGTAGAACGCCTCCAGCAACTATAATGTTCGCGATAGGGTAAGCACATCGCGGGCTACTGACCAGGCCAGTAGTGCAGGGTGTCCAAGCCACCGGTGTCTAGAAGCAAAAGGATGTGGCTAATGCCCCCGAGCCCTGAACAATATCTTGAGCACCCGGTGATGGCGGAAAATGAGGAAGCCAACCTCGTGATCCACCGGAAGCTCTGTCTCTACCACTTGTTTTCCTCGCCCACGTCCTGGTCAGCCTTGAACTTCTCAAGGTCGCAATAGCTGTTCCAGCCTTCTATCTGGCTTGGGTCCACATTTGGATGCCTGAAAATCTGTGTGGCGGCACTGACAGCACATTGCTTAGCCCGAAGTTCCATGCAAAGATACAGATCTCGGCTATAAGGTCGAACAGGTTGGGAGGGTCTATGTTTGATGGGTAATTACCTGATTTTGATACTTTAACGAGTGATTTTGACCCAGAACTCCCTTTTTTATGGATCAGGGTTGATGCCATCCGTAACGGAATTCCGTCCCCAATGGGTTTTAGTTTTTTTTTTTTTTTTTTTTTTTTTTTTTTCCGTTGAGAAATGTTGAATGATACCGCAAACGTCCCGTAAATGTTTGAAGTACTAAACAAAGAAAGAAATGTATTTCAGGTTCAGAGGCGAGGTCCCTGGAGCAGAATATTGCCAGACCTTTTTTGCTCACGCCTCTGGCAAAGCGAGGACCCCTTTTGATCATTTCCCCAAATTGGAACGTCAATGTTCACACATCATGCCAAATTCAGCCGGTTCGTTTTCTTTTGTGACGTGGTAACTTTCAAGATGCTGCTGGTTCCCGGTTTTTTGCTTGCCCGATTTGAAATCTTTCTTCCGTATTTCATTTTGGGCAGACTTGTGCGAGTGAGCATGTCCAGAGTTGGGATTTGTGTCTGGTTCGACGTCCACATTTGACATCAAGCTTTGGGGTTGAGTTGACATCAGCTAAGCTTAGGTGGTGCCAACTCTACTTCTGACTGTCTCTAAGACACATAAAACAATCCGTAATTTTAATGTATCATACATTTGCAGCTCTCGTAGCTCAGTTGGTTAGAGCGTATGGCTGTTAACCATAAGGTCGGTGGTTCAAGCCCACCTGGGAGCGACTTTTAGCGCTAAACTGTTGTTGGGCGTGCCTCAGCCATGCATGGAAAGTATCACTTTTGTAGTCCAAATGTGTTCTGCCAATAATAGTAGCATCCACATCGTCTGCACAGCATAGGGTACCGTATATGAGCAAACAATAACCGCATCGGACCAATACGTTGGGCGCCCGTTGCACCAGTACCCGGTTACAAGGAATGGGCCTGTTAATCAGGAGGGATTTCTTTAATTAGTTCAACCATATAATCAACTGCAACAGGGGACGGCCACGTATAGAAATAAAAATCAGCATGTCGAGTTACCCACTTGGGACGACACGGGAGACATACCCACTATCTCTTGGGTATGATTCTCCTAGGAGCTGAAGCAACCAGAGCAGTGTTACACAGTGTTGATTACTGAAGCAGACGGCACCGAATTGGAGCTCCTCGAAGAAGTCCCTAGTACCATCAAAGGAGTTACCCATTGACCTTTCGGCGGGGATACCACCAGCATGTGCACACCAGCAGGAGATCGTGGAGGAGCCTAGTTCCAAACCAACCTTCCGACCCCCTTACCACCTCAGTCCACCCGAGTCAGCAGATGTGAAAAAGTAAGTTGAAAATCTGTTGGAGAAAAAACTGATCTGACCTTCAACATCACCTTACGGAGTACCTATACTCTTCACACCAAAACCCGATGGATCCTTGCGGATGTGCATTGGCTACAGGGCGCTAAACAAGCAGGCTGTCCAGAATAACTATCCTATTCCAATGATAGAATACCTCATAGACCTGCTTCGAGGAGCCTTTTTTTGTTTTGTTTTGTTTTGTTTTGTTTTTTTTCAACTGGACATCCGACAAATTCGGATGGCAGATATCTCTAAAAAAAAAAACCGCATTTCTGGCGCACTATAGCTCCTACGACTATTTAGTGATGCTGTTCGGACTCACGAGCGCACCCGCCATGTTCCAGGCCGAGATGAATCATATTGTCTGCTCTCTATTTGACGAGTGTGGTGTGGTGTACTTGGACGATATCCCAATATACTCCAAGACAATCAAGCGTAGAGGCGTACAATCAAGCTCTATCCTTAAAGTCGTCCTCGTACTGCATTCATTTGTCAGGATGTTGACATCGTATGCATGCGCACCACATAGGGAAAATTTCTACACAAGGCGGCATGCCTCCACCAAAGCGCGGACATAGTGTACTTACTTGCGGAACCATTCTTTAATGTCCTGGATAAGAAACATGCATGACTGTAGGGTCTTAGCTCGCATCTTAGTCAGCAATAGCCAAACACCATCCAACGGATAAGTGAGCAAGTAGTCTATAAAGGACTCTATGATGGTGTCAACATCACAACGCATCAAAGTGATCACAGACGCGAGCGATATTGCCATCGGAGCCGTGCTACTATATGATTTCGGTGGCAGATTACAGCCAATAGAGAACGAGTTACGAAAGTTACACTCGCCCAAGCGAAACTATCTGATACACAACAGGAAGCTGCTCGCCATCGTGTACACTTTCAAAGTGTGGCGGTGTAATCTGACGGGAACAGATATGAGGGTACAGACAGATCATCGCGACTTACACTACATTCGCGCCCAACCTCTTTTCAATCCATGACAGATCCACTAGTTGGTTATGGAATCCAATTTAAAGTACACCATCACGTACAAAAAAGGGCATCGAATATTGCCAACCCCCTTTCTCTCCCATCTGCCCATCTCAACTCTATCATTCGTGCCCAAACTTCCTCACCTTTAATAGACCTATTCACCACGGGTACCAGACCAACAGAATCTATACGTCAGACACATACAAACAGCTTGCCACACCTAAGGGAGTCTATTACGTAAAGACTGGGACCATTCGCACTTGGGTACCAGGGTACATTTTATAATGGGAATTACTATTACAGGAAGCTCACGAAAATACAGTTTCTAGGCACTTCATAGTGGAAAAAAACACGGCAGCAGCTACAACACTACTATTTCTGACCCGACATGCAGAATGACCTGCAGCAGCATGTGGCCTTGTGCAGAACCTACTAGACCACGAGGTCCTCGAAGCAGCAGCCAGCTAAATAGTTGCAGCCAATCTTGTTGACCGAACGAGCGTGGCAGCAGGTGACGATGGACTTCATTAGTGCATTGCCTGCCCAAGACGGCTGTAACAATGCGATATCTGTCGTCATGGTCAAACTGACAAAAATGGCACACTTCGCTGTGTGCAAGAAAAGCATATCAGCCAAAGAAAATGCCCGACTCTTCATCACAACAGTTGTTTGCCTGCATGGGATCCCGTCAGCAACCATTTCGGACGGAGACACGCGATTCACCAGCAACTTCTGGCGGCACCTGTAGGACCAGTTCGGAACACGGTTACTATTCTCATCCTCAAGTCACCCTGAAACTGACGGCCGGACTGAGCAAGCCAATCGGTCAATGGAACAGCTGATTCGTGCCACGCGCAATGATGTGGCTGACTGCGAACAGCAACTACCGTGATAGAGTTCGCATACAACAACGCCCCGTCAGCCACAACCCACCAATCACCATTCTACCTACAGACAAGAACCTACACTAATGAGCATCTCAAACCCAAACAACCTCGTACCACGAGCCTAACATTTTGAAAAAGTTTTACAGGATGCTCGCAAGCGAGCAGCAAAAGCCATTAAGTTCCGCAAATATTTTCTCTAAGCGCAACGCAGACTTCAACCACTGAGCCGTAACTTACCAAGCAGGAGACTTAGCACTACTTGGGACGCAAAATCTTTGACTATCCATGGTTCCAAAACTCCGTCCGCATTATTGTGGACCATTTACCATCAACCACATGATTACATCCATTTCAACCCATATACCGCCACCTGGAATGTAAGCCCGTCATTCCACGAGCGACTCCTATGACTTTACATAACCAATACAGACCAATTGCCATGTCAGACAGCGAGCACAAACATGCAACCGTTGGCCAAACCGATGGTCCAACCTGCAAATGTTCTCAACCATCAGATTCGAGATCCCAGAGGTGCTCGTCCGATTGAGTTCCTCATATCCTGGAAGGACCGAACGTCCATGGAAAACAATTGGGGCCTTTGGCACAAATCAAGAATTACCAGTTGTTACGCCCTCTGACGAGCTGCATGAAATTTGTCGAACTTGCAGTTTTCATGCTAGTTGAAAGAACTCAACACCCTCGCGCTGACTGAAGCCTCTAGCAACGTAGCGCGCCTTGAACATTGGCGGCTCTCCAGGAGGGCGCTTCACCTTGAAGAGCCACCGGCCATCGACTACGTTCACCCCAGGTGGGGGAACTGAGTCGACGAAGGTGCCGGTGGATCTCCAACATGCCATCTCCGCGTCCATGGCAGCTATCCACTAAGAGGCCCAGGGTCCCGAGGTTGCCTCAGCGTATGTGCGAGGGGTCAGAATGTTAAGGGCGGCTGGGTCACCCTTAGGGACTAGCAGCATGGAGCAGAGATGAGGAGCGGCCTCGGACAGGAAAGCGAGCTCGTATTGCTGGTCCTCCAGGACGTCATTGCCAAGGGAAGGAGCAAAGACCAGATCGGTGGCGTTGTCAAGGTGGCGGTTAGTGGCAAAGTCAGCGAGGGCAGCGACAAGTGCATCGAGACGCGAAACAGGAACAGACGGGTTGGTAATGAGGGAGGCAAGGACACGAGGAACAAGAGGACTAGTAACACGAAGGAAATCAGAAAGGGGAGGCGGATTGACAACCAGCGATGATGGAGGAGGCGACGAGACGAGGGAGGATGAGGCACGTGGGAACGGAGCAACATAGGGTGAGAGCACTGAACATGAGAGAGGACAAGCACGAGAGGGACGGTGAGTCTAGAAGTGGGAGGGAGGCGTCGGGTCAAGAGACAACGGAGGAGACACATGAGGAGAATGAGGGGGGAAACGAGCCGGAGGCGAGTCCGGCAGAGGAAACACATGGCCGTGGACATGAGGGGGAGGCGGAGGCGGGTGGTTAGGGGAGGGAAGACCGAGGAGGAGAAGGGCGGACACCGGTGGGGACTGCTGCTACTGCTCCACACTGACACCATAACCTCCTGCTGCACCACGGCTACCTCCGGGATGCTCCGCGACAGCATCCCCAGAACGACACCCCGCTCCAGCACTGATGCCACCGCCAGGACCGCCAGGACGAGCCACGACAGTACCCCCAAGAATAGCACCCCCAGAACCAGCACCCCCAGAACGAGAACCCTCTCCAGCACCGGTGCCGCCCCCAGGATCGCCGGGACAAGCCACGACAGTACCCCCAGGACTAGCACCCTCCTCAACGCCCGCACCCCCAGAGCTCGCAGACCCCTGCGGCGATGGCTGCGGCAGCGGCGGCGGCGGCTACGGTTGCTGCTGCAGCTGTGACGGCGGGGACGGCTGTGGCGGCGACGGCGGCTACTGCGGCGGCGGCGGAGGAGAAGAAACTAGGGCAGAGTTAGGCAGCAAAAACGAAGCCGCAGGGCCCCCGGATTCAGCCGACTCCTCTATCGGGACAACCCATGGGTGGGAAGTGACGTGAGACACACCCGACGGGGCAGGATGGGGAGGAAGAGGAGCAGGGGCTACCAGCGGATTGGGGACTAGGAACAGGGGCGGGGCAACCAAGAGAACTCAGTGGGGAAAGCGGGTGTAGAAGGAGAGAGACTCATCAAAAGTAGCGTCACGAGAGTGAAAGAAACGGTGAGACGGCGGGTGGTAAATGTGTCAGACAGATGCGTCGAGGGGGAAGCCAAGGAAGACACAAGGGATGGTGCGGGCAGTGAGCTTGTTCGTGCCAGAGGCACGAACGTGAGCAAGGCAGCCCCAGACGTGGAACGCAGACGTGTTACCAGGGGATCCGGTCTAGAGAAGGGTTGGCGAAACATTCGAGCGCTGGGAGTGCGGCCATAGGTTAAGCTTGTGAGCGACGTAGCGAACAGCGAACGACCACTTAAAATGGGGTGCACCAGCATAGATTATTGAGGTACGAGCCACCTCTATGACAAAAACCGATGCATCGCTTAGCAACCCCATTCTGCTGCGGGGAGTCCGGCAGGGTTTACGACTGGTGATGCCCTCCACACGACAAAATTGGCCAAGCCGACCGGAGGCGAACTCGCCGCCATGGTCGGAGTGAAGACGCAGCATGCGGAGGCCGCGGTGGACTTGCGCAGCTGTGACCCACGGGATAGGAACGTGAGACACGTTGGCGTTACGCTCCAGGGGAAACACCGTGGCGTAGCGCGTGTAGTTGTCGACAAGCACTAGAAAGTAGCGCTCTCGACGCGGCCCAAAGGCAAGGGGTGGGCCCTAGACATCCAGGTGCAGGTTTTGGAGTGGCGCAGTGGTAGGGGAAAGCGAGGAGGAGTGAGGAGCGCGGTGCAACCGGCGCTCGACGCAGGGCGGCGCAGGCGAGGGAGGGAGGGCAGGGAGTGACGCAGGGAGACCTAAGACAAGCCCGTGATGGGACATGTGACGCAGACGAGGGAGTGCGGGGTGACCAAAGCAGTGGTGCCACAGCAGCGACGGGTGGGAGGGCGATCGACAAGAGCAAGCCGCAACAACCTGGCAAGGCGCGGCGACCTGGGGGGGCGCTCCCACTGGGGGGGACGCAGTGTCTAGGGTGAATAGGCCAGACACCGGTTCCCGGGGAAACGTGGTGAGAGGGGCACCAGTGGCGGCCTCGGTACAGACTAGAAGCAGGCGGACGGACTAGAGTCTAATGTGAAAGAGAGCATGGCGGTAGTGGCCGCAGGCGGAGGAGCTAGAGTAGAGCCGAGGCTAAACAAAGCGGGTGGTCCTACACCTGACGCAGCAGGGGAGCCTAGGCTACACACAGTGGACACACCTACACTAGCCAAGACAGGGTAATAGGGTTCGGTCACACTAGAGTCATCGGCCTAATGACATACATGGCAGACCTTATATGATCCATATCAAGCTCAAAGACAGGGACACGGCAACGCACCTGGCTGTACCAGTAAGGGGGGTCCGTCGTGGGGCCGAAGCGGAGACGGAAGAGGTCGTCGAGGCGGCGGTAGTAGTGGGCAGCGGTGTGACCAGGATGGTTGCAAACGGTGCCGCGACAGGGGCCAGACTGAAGCTAGTACTAGCAGGTGACCATTCCGGAGCCGCCTTTGGACACCGAGCTGCGCAGCCCACCACCACGACCACCACCGCCAACGCCGCCAGGCCACGACGATAGCAGGGGTCCCCACGGCAGCTGCTGCTGCTGATCCGGGGCATCAGCCCCGGTCCCCTCGCGTGCACCACCGTCCCTGCCCCCACCTCCAACACCTCCACCACCCCCACCACCCTTCCCTCCGCCACGCCCCCCCTTGGGGCGGCGACCCTTACCCTGATGCGGCAGCGCTGAGGTCACGGCAGCAGTCTCAGCAGCAGGGGTTGTCTCAGCGACAGCGGTGGAAACATCATAGTAAATGCTCTGGGAGGGAGCACAGCCGTGGAAGATAGGGACCACCGTAGTACCGCTAGATTGAGCGATAGTGCTGGCTGGTCTCTATTAAAGACAGGGCGGTGACACACACAGTGGCTAGGCGGTCAGGAAGGCACGTGGCAATGAGGTAAAGGGTAGCGCAAAGCGGCAGCCGGAAGGCAGTGAGCTGTGCCTCAATGCTAGCGGCGCGGTAGCTAGTCTCAAGTGCGCGGAGATGAGTGGCAAGGTCAGGAAGAGTGTGGAAGGATGCAACATCAGGGAATAGTATGGGGAGGATCAGACGGCCAGCAAAGGTGGAGGAGGGAGTGGAATAGCGCGCAATGACTACATCTAAGTACTCCTTCGCATTTGCTACAGCGGTAAAGTGGGAACGATCAGACAGAGGGAGGGCGTGTTTAATGGCAAGCTGTGCAACTATGTCGCGCGACTCCCAGATAGCGCGGGCATGCTCAGCGACGACAAAGGGCCTCAGGCTTAGCAGACGTGGCGGGGCAGGGGAACTTACCGTTGACATGGACAGCTAGCTGGCGGCGGAGGTCGACGAGCCACGGCTAAAAATCAATCGCTCGACCCTTCGCGTCTAGGCGGAGCATAGAGTCCGCCATTACCACGGCTGCAGCAGCTGACTGCCGCTGGAGGGGGGTGGAAAGCGGCGGAGGGCGATGGAGAGTGGTGAAGAGCGGAGGAGAGTGGTGGAGTGCGGTGGAGAGCGGTGGAGTGCGGTGAAGAGCAATGGAGTATGGGGGAGTGCGGTGGAGAACGGCAGAGACAGCCGGTGGGAGCACTGGTTCAGGGGGGGTGCCAAGGCCAGCAGGTCCGGGCAGCAGTGCGGCTCGGCGGCTCATCGACACGGCGTCATGGGGGCACTGTGGCCCGACGGCGCGGCGGCTCGGCGGCACGACGGCCCGGCGAGCAGCGACTACGCACGGCCGGTGGCTACGCGCTACGGGCGGCCAGCGGCTACTTGTTACGGGCAGCCGGCGGCGACGGGCCACAGGCGGCCGGCGGCGACGGGCTACGGGCGACGAGCACAGGGTTGGTGAGCGAGGGGCCAGCAGGCGCTGGGCCAGCAAGTGCGGGGGCTGGCGGGCGCGGGGCTACGAGCGGCCAGCGGCGATGGGCTACGGGCAGCCTACGGCTACGGGCTACGGGCGGCCGGTGGCGACAGGCTACGGGCGGCCGGCGGCGACGGGCTACAGGCGGCCGGCGGCGACGGGCTACGGGCGACCGGCGGTGACTAGCTACGGGCAATCGGTGGCGACGGGCTACGGGCGACCAGCAGTTACCTGCTAGGGGCAGCCAGTGGGGACGGGCTATGGGTGGCCAGCGGCGATGGGCTACGGGCGACCGGTGGCGACGGGCAGTTAGCGACAGGTGGCTAGGGCTATGACTAGAGCGGAAGCGCGGGTGGGCGGGGAGGACCTAACCTAGCACATGATACCATCTCAGAGTTGAAGAATGACTAGAATGAGTGATACAAGGTGGGTTTGTACTAGTGTGTTGTACCCTCTAAGCATATAATACGTTTACAAATATGTTTGACATATATTCCCATAATTCTTACACTTAAAGCTCTTTTACCACTCAGGGGAAACAAGGACCGAGAGGGGTGAGATTGAAAACTTCCAGGACTGCTGCTGGCACACTAACCCCATCGACCTTGGATGCACCATGGGACCACGCAAATCGTACGATGATGTTTAGGAGAATCCCCATTATTTCCAAACGTGAAAGGCTATTTTCCATGCTACTGGTAGAACATGTTCATCAAGTAAAGCAACCCGCAAGTTTAAGTTTCTAAAGACCAGAAATGACGTTCATAGTATTTTGATGCCAGTCGCATATTCAAACAGACATCCATGTTGTGCCAGCTGAATGCATCAAGGTGCCGTATGTGAAAGTTGTGTCAACATATATTTTGTAATGTTATAAGCTACTTAGATGCAGTCTTATAGAGAGTACAACCCCTTCGACAAAACTACCTTGTATCACTCATTCTAGTCAACAATTCCAATCTGAGATGGTATCACGCGCTAGGTTAGGTCCTCCCCGCCCACCCGTGCTTCCGTTCAAGTCCTAGCCCTAGTTGCCTGTTCCTAATTGCCCGTACCTAGCAGCCTGTCGCTAGCTGCCCGTTTCGAGCTGCCTGTTTCTAGCTGCCCGTCGCTAGCTGTTCGTCACTAGCCGCACGTAGCCCCACGCCCGCTGGCCCCGCGATCCTCAACCTTGAGCCCACTGGCCCAGAGCTCGCTTGCCCCGCGCTCTCCTCCCCCGCGCCTGCCAGCCCCGCGCTCGCTGGCCATGCACCAGCTGGCCCCGCGCCCGCCCGCCCTGCGCCCGCTCGCCCCGATTTTGCCTGCCCCGCGCTCTCTGGCCCCGCATTTGCCAGCCCATCGCTGCCGACCCCTTGGTCCCTGACCCCGCGCCCACCGGCCTCTGCGTTCGCCTACAATGCGCCTGCTGGCCTCCGCGCCTGCTGACCCCTCGCCCGTCAGCCCTGCGCCTGCTGGCCCCGCGCCTGCCAGCCCCGCGCCTGCTGGCCCCGCGCCCTCCAGCCCCGCGCCTGCTGGCCCCGCGCCCGCCTGCCCCGCGCCTGCTGCCCTTACGCCGGCCGCAGCTCCATTGGCCCCCGATCCGCCGGCCGCAGCACCGCCAGTCCCAGCCCGCCCCGGCCCTTGCTACCGCCGAGCCACACTACCCGCCGGCCTTGGCTCCTCCTCAGAGCCGGCGCTCCCATCAGCAGGCTCCACTGCTCTCCACCGCACTCTACTGCTCTCCACCGCACTCTACTGCTCTCCACCGCACTCCACCGCTCTCCATTGCACTCCACCGCACTCCACCGCTCTCCACCGCACTCTACCACTCTCCTGTCCGAGGCCACGCCTCATCTCTGCTCCATGCTGCTAGTCCCTGAGGGTGCCCCAGATGCCTTTGACCTCCCGACCCCTCGCACTTATGATGAGGCGACCTCGAGACCCTGTGCCTCTCAGTGGATAGCTACCATGGACACGGAGATGGCATCTTGGAGATCCATCGGCACCTATGTCGACGCAGTTCCCCCACCTGGGGTGAACGTAGTCGATGGCCAGTGGCTCTTCAAGGTGAAGCACCCTCCTGGAGAGCCGCCGGTGTTCAAGGCACGCTACGTTGCTTGAGGCTTCAGTCAGTGCGAGGGTGTTGACTTCTTTCAGACCTTTGCCTCAACCCTGGAGATGACTACTCTTCGGGTGCTGCTTCACGCAGCAGCACAGCGTGACTACGACTTCACTAAAGAGTTTCTTCAGGGCAGTCTGCACCAGCAGGTCTACATGCGTTGCCTGCCAGGCTTCATCGGCACCTTCGCCCTAGGGACCCAGTGGCTCCTCCAACACCCGGTTTACGGCCTGCGGAAGGTGCCGCGTGAGAGGCATGACACACTTCGTTCTACGTTAGCTGGTCTGCAGTTCTTCCTGTCCTCTGCAGACCCTTCGCTCTTCGTTCATTCAGGCCAGACCCCGTTCTACATCCTTGTCTACGTAGACGGCCCAGTCTTTGCTATTGCACACAGTGACGCACTGGCCTGCGTGAAGGCCGAGCTGCTGAGGAGACACACCTGCACTGACCTAGGAGAGTTGCGCCGCAAGGCCTGCAGATCTCCAGGGACAGAGCAGCGCTCACCATCACTCTCACACAATCACACTTGGTGCGCCAGGTCCTTCAGAGGTTCAGTCTTCAGCTCTCCTCCGGACAGCCCACACCTATGCCAGCTGATCATAGACTCTGAGCTCCAGTCCCTGAAGAGTCAGTACAGCTTAGTGGTCCATACGCAGAGCTGGTGGGTTGTGTCATCTACCTGATGACTTGCCCTCGTCCAGATCTCACAAACCCTCTCAGCATCCTGGCTCGCTTTGAGGCGACAGGCAGACACTGACCACAGCAGTAGTCGGCCCCTAAGAGGGTTTTGTGTTATCTAGCAAGTACATCGGGCATGGGGCTAGTGTTAGGAGGACCTAGACCAGTGGTCCTTACAGGGCACACAGACGCTTCGTGGGCAGATGACACTGAGACTCTTAGGTCCTCCTAGGGCTACTGCTTTAGCCTTGGTGCAGGTGCCATCTCATGGAGGTCCACCCGCTCGTCGTCTGTTGCCTAGTCTAGCTGTGAGGCTGAGATCTACTCTGGTGCCATGGCGGCATAGGAGCTCCGCTGGCTGACCTTCTTGCTCCGATGGCTGACCTTCTGCCCCGGTCCTGTATGCTAACAACAGGGCCGTGATCCTCTTGTGTCAGGAGCCTTGATTGGAGGGCAGAGTGAAGCACATCCAGCTGTGATACTTCCTCTTGCTCGAGCTACAGTAGCGTCGCCAGACCTGCATAGTACACTTGGCCTCTGGTGCCAACACACGGGATATCTTTACGAAGGCGCTTGCGCTTAAAGATCATCAGCGGCACTGTGTACAGCTTGGTCTAGTGCCTTGTGGCCCCTTTTCCAGTGGTTGGACTAGTAGTGCTGCCCTGGGTTACTCTTGCTTCCTTTTTACTCTTGCAGACTGGTCTTCAGACCCTTGCTTCAGAGGTTGGATTAGTAGTGCCACCTTGAGTTGTGTGTCTCATGCTGGTCGTTGCCCCTTGTCTAGCCTAGGGGGTGTGTCAGCATATATTTTGTACATGTTATAGGCTAGATAGGTGCAGTCTTATAGAGAGTACAACCCCTTAGACAAAACTACCCTCTATTATTGATTCTAGTCAACAATTCCACTCTGAGAAGTACGCCCTTGTCAGTACCCCTTCATGGGCCTCAGTTGCAGCCAGCTCATGAATGATCTCACGGCACCACCAGCATGTGAGCCATGAGACATACAAGACCCTCCCGCACTGGCAGCAGGCGACACAGCAAGATTCGTACTTGACGATGCTTCTCTAGAGCTTGCACTCTCTTCTTTCCCATAGGACTCCCATTCCTCCTTTTCAGGGCAGTATGCCACCTCCTTCATTTCGGGCCGTCGTGTGCCTGGTGACTTGATGCAGTCCAAAGCCCTGAAAAGAGAAATGATAAGGCAGCATGAAGCGCAAGCGAACAGTGATAAACTGGGTTCGGCTGAATTTAACATGGGGTGAGCCTACCCATTTTCTGATGTGCGATTTTTTGTCAGCTTGGGGTGACATTCCAGTCAGCAACTCTAGGAGCATGATGCCAAAGCTGCAAACGGTCAGAAATTCGAAATAGAAGGGGAGTTGAAACTGCCAAAGGTAAAAGGTGAAGAACAGCAATGAAAACAATAAATCGGGATAGTCAAAAGGCGATTCTGCCGCAGCTTCGCGTAAGCTCCTGAAGACATCACTCTTAGCAATGATGATGCTGGTGTGGTTGTAGTCCGGGTCCACGTAGCCAGGAGTGCCCTGGTTGCATCGGCATCGCCGTGGGTGAGGCGCTTGAGGAGCCCAAAATCAGCAAACTTGACATGCATGTCGGTAGTCACAAGGATGTTGGCCGGCTTGTTGTCGCGTTGAATGATGGGCGTCTTAAACCCATACAAGTACGCTAGGCCCTCCGCTGCTCCCTGCGCCAGGCGCAGCCTTTGGCGCAGCGAGAGAGGGTCTGGAGGAAAGACAACAAGAGCTGAGGGGGGTGTTCATATTCAGCGTTCTCATATTCTCAGTGAGACAACGCATGGCTGGCAACCTTCGGATCTGACGCAAGTGTGGCTCACTCTTGTTCTTGTGGATGTGGAACTGTAGGTCTCCATTGCCCACAAACTCGTACACCAGAATCAGCTCCTGCTTCCCCGTCTCCACGTTCTGATCCAGACAGAAGCCCAGCAGCCGTTCCAGATTCGCATGGTGGAGAGACACCATGGCTCGCACCTGTTGGGTGAAAAAAACATAAACTTACAATGGACAAGTTTTTTTTTTTTTTTTTTTTTTTTTTTTTTTTTTTTTTTTTTTAATGATGCTTCCCCAGTAGCTGCGGTTCAGCACTGCCAATGTTCTCTTGTAGGCCATGTATTAAAAAAAAGAAGAGAGAATGCAGGGGATCAGAATGGGTGCTATATAGAAGGCAAAGGGTCACTTCCGTTTCAAAGTCATCAAACAGGAGAGTGGAGTGCTTGTTTGCCCACAGTGGGCCCTGTGGCGAGATGGCTTTTAAGTCGAATCAAAAGTCATCCTGCTACCAGCAAGGCATGGCTCACCTCCGATTCAAACTCATTGGTCATGACAATGGAGCGCTTGATTGCCCACGGTTTCCCTTGTGGCGAGCAGCCCCTGTAGACAATGCCAAAGCTGCCCCTGCCCAGAACATTTTCCTCGGACCAGTTGTCAGTGGCCCTCACCATCTGCTGCAGCGAGAACTGCTCGCACACATCCAGACCCTCCCACTTCCCTGCACACACACAGTGGCCGAAGAGAAGGGTGAACGATGGGAAGCAAACAAGGCAAATGAGTGAAGAGAGACAAGGCATTGGTGCAGCGGCAGTAAATGTAATATGGGATGGTGGCAGGACAGGAGTGCAGGGAGGGATGTACCATAAGAGGTGCGAGAATGTACTGTAATGAGAAAGATGGCACAGAACAGGCAAGGTTGGGGGCCTCACTTTGTGCGCGGGGCCAGAGCAGTCATGCAAACACAGCAGCCAGCAGAATGAAGCCAGCAAAGCAGCCCACAGCGATGCCCACTATGGTGCCCGTGGACAGCGAGGGCACTGCACGAGGGAGAGGGTGGAGGGGTAGGGGAGGACGGGGAACGAGGGGGGAGTGGAGGTGTCGGAGGAGTGATGGGGTCTGTATCTGCATGGGATGGCTGTTGATGGAACGTTGCCTACGAATGGGGCAAGCAGCTGAGCAAGGCTCACCAGTGGTGGTGGTGGAGTTGACAATGGCGCATGTGGAGCCGCTGCCTGAGTTGATCACAGAGTACCCGGCATCACAGAGGCACGTGAAGCTGGTGATCAAGGCAGGTGCAGCAGGCCACACGCACCATGGCCTCACACACGCCATTGTCAGTGACGCTGCAGAACGCCTGGCAGGCTGCCGTGCTGCACTGGGTGGCGTTGGAGGAGCACTCCATGTCAAAGTTGAGCATCAGGCAGTTGCCAGACAGACCCACCCTCGCCCCCTTGTCTGTCCCTGCTGCAGCAATTGTGTCGCCGCTGCACTTCCCCGCAAACGCACCGAAGGTGTCCAGTATGGCCCACATGTCCATGTTCAGCATCGTGGCCTCGCTGACCTCAAAGAGGCACACCAAGCAGCCCGCAACGAAGAGCATGGCACTGCCGTAGAAGTAGTTGTGAGCCAAGTTGATGAGGGCGTTCCCATCCGCCACCATGTTCTTGAAGTTGCGGTTGATGCGCCCATACAGGCAGTTGTTGCTCACATCGCTGCAGCAAGTGTAGGTCAGATGGGAGGGCAACAATGGCATTTCAGCGTTGGCAGGTGATAGACCCACCATCAAGCCAGCAGTACCCGAAACCCATGCCACTTGTCATTCTTTGCGCTGACAATGCTGATGATGTGAGCAGCTGCATGCAAGTCACAATAGAATTGAGCAGCTAGGTTGCCTCACATTTGGTTGATACACTTTTCAAAGAGGCAGTCTGGCAGGGGCCCGTACAGGCAGTTGTTGCTCGCCATGTTGCCATCAGGACACACACCATAGCCCCTCACTTCACATGCGCCACAGCCACTCACATGCACCACAGCCACTCACATGCGCCACAGCCAGGGCAGCGAGCAGATGGCAGATGGCAGATGGCCCTCGATGGTGTTGTTGTCCAGCCAGCTAGGGGGGGGCAGGCAGGGCAGAAGCAGGAGGCAGGAAGGTGCAGACACATGGGCATGAGGAGAATTAACTGGGGCACAGCACAGCTGGCTGCTGAAGATGGATTGGAGCACATCACAGGCCGTTGCTGCTGATGGGTTGGGGCACATCACAGATGGTTGCTGCAGGTGGGGCAGGGCTCAGGGCACGTAAGGGTGGGTGAGGCACGGCAGGTAGCTCGAGGCATGCATGGATGGGAGGGTGCCACACAAATTGATGGATGAATGGATGGATAGCTGAGGCGCTGAAGAAGGCATGGGAGGGTCCAGATGTAGGGGAGGGAGAAGGGACTGAGAGAAGTGAGCAATGTTGTGAAAATGGTCTTACCATCAAGAAAGGCTCCAATGCCAGTGAATGAGTAACATTCTTCACTCCTATACCTCTCTATAGCTGGCGGTTGGTGATAGTCCACTGTCTGGGTTGACCCCTTTTGTCTGGGTATCTATGTGCTATAAGTACCTAAGTGCAGAGATACAGGATTCACTGGCATCGCTATGGTAGTGATGCCAGAATGTGGGTCGATAATAGTGATTCCGGTGAGTCAGGTGCCTCTGTACTTAAAGTACTTCTGGCCATAGAGCACAGCTCATTTCCTGCCACTCCTCCCAGCTATTGGCCCGAAAACATTTGACCTCCAATGTTGCTTTCACACCTCTCACTTGCATCTCCCACAAAATTTATGTATCCCACTGTGCTTACTTAATGTGATATTCCTAAAGGCACACTCAATACAAGGATTGTTTGAAAGAGACAGAAAGGGATCGAGTGGGGGAGACAGAAAAGGGGAGAGCAGGAGAGATGAGAACACGAGAGGGCTGATGGCATCAGCAGGCTGCCTCTCACATCTGCTCGAGCTTCTCCAGGCGACTGATGGCAGACGGCAGACTGCCGCTCAAATGGTTGTTGGCCAGATAGCTGAAGGGATAGTGGAGGGGAGAGAGATTGAAGAGACAAGATGCGTAAACAAGACCAGCGAGAGGTGATGCAGCTAAGCACCATGGGGTACAGTTGGGGAGGTGTATGCTGCAAAGGGACACTCTAACCCCCAAACAATGTTTGAGTCGACACCCCCCCCCAAAAGAAAAACAGGGGTATGTCTGGGGAAGTGTGTGGTAGAAAGGTTCATCATCAACCACAAAGGCAAGTGTGTGGCGTAAGCATAGTGGAGTCCCAAAAGAAACACCGGGAAGCGCCGGAGTCCAGGGTGAAGGAGAGCGCGGCAGTGGCGGCGGGGGTCGGAGGAGCGAGGGTGGAGCCTAGGCTAAACAAAGCAGGGGATCGTATGCCTGATGCAGCAGGTGGGCCAAAGCGGAGACAAAATAGGTCGTCTAGGCGACTGAAACAACGAGTCAGGTTATGGCCAATCTGCTGCGGAAGTATGACGCGACAGAGGTAGGTGAAGGAATTCGTCGAGGAAGAAGTGGAGAAGGGAATTGAGGGGTAGGCGTGGTGTGTACGGGAAATTGGGTTGGCCGTGGGGTTGGAAATCCAACGATCAATTGGATTCTTCGAAAATCAGTCACTCCCCTGCTACACCCAAATTCGTGATCACAAATTGTGTGTGGGACGAAATGTGACGCAGAAACCTTGTTCCCCGTCAAAATCCTTTCCGTGCGAATTACGTGAGGGGAAATTGTGGGGTGACGTTTGCTGGTTTTCGTTTGTTTGGGCAGCCAGGGAAACTTTTATGGCTGACCATAAACGTTAGCCCAAAACCAGACAACGTACGTAAACGTAAAAATGACACGTAAATGTTCATAAACGTTAGTCAACGTAAACGTTAAGTCCAACTTAGCTTGGAAAGTTTCCTACACTTTTGGGTGTTAGTTGACTGCTCCACCAACTTTAAGCCTACGCGACCACACACGCATTTTCAGCCAGGCGTATAGCATATATACGCTTGTGTTTGTACACGGTATGCTATACGCTCAATATACTCTATATGCTCATCGATTTTATTTTCCTGGCTGCTCCAAAATCGCAAAAACAATTCCAGGACGTTGTGATTTGGCGAAACCAACCAAAATGTCCCCGAATCACGAAGCTCAACATCTTGGTGAGCGAGGAGTAGTAGTGGGATGTATTGGGTTTTGTGAAGGGGGGATGATGACCGTTTGTGGCCAAAACTATGTAATTTGCTATCAAGGAAATTGATTTTGGAGGGAGGAGGGGAGGGTGGGGGAGAGGGGGGACATGGTCTGCAAACCCCCCCCCCCCCCCCCCCCCCCCTTCCTGGAAACGTTTTTTGGCCCTGCCCGTGCTTTTTTTCCTGCCCAGCCGAGTGTATATCAAGCGTATGTGCCGGCGTGAAGCGTATGCCCCTGAGTATAGCGTATGCGCGCTAGCGTACGTACAATCAGCCAAACGCGTATGTGGTCACATAGCTTTAGACGCCAGCCATGCCGTAAGCAATCTTGCTGGTTGGGCTTTAAGCTGCCACAGCTGAAGTCCTTGATCTGAGTGTGATCGTGCAAGCTGCATCCCCTTACCGGATATCTAGCGCAAGGTATCAGCCGCTATTGCAAGTTGCAGCTCGCTCGAGGATGGTATTGATTCTTTTCCATCATTTGCAATGGTATTCATTTGATTGCACGGCAGCACTCTCTGAAGGGCCCACGTTATCCCCTGATTCCCGCTCTCCTCCCCTCCTCCCTTTCTTCTCTTTGTTATCCCTTCTTTCCTCTCTCCGTCCTCCCCCTTCCCCCCCCCACCTAACATGCATACCTTAACCACACTAAGGCCAGGGGTGTGGCATATCATCCTCCTTCTTCCCCACCTCCTCCTCCTATCCTCTCCCTTCCCTTCTTTTCATCCTCTTCCAATCCTGCTTTAACCCCCCCTGTTTGCCCCCTCTCCCAACGTGTGATACACGTTGGACAGACTCCACATGGGATGGGATCATGGGATTCTTTCTCTCCTTGACGTCATCCTAGATGACTTTTGAGTCGACTCAAAAGTCACTTCATGGTGAGCGAGAGAGGCG